GTGATGGGCGGTTGTTTGGTGAAGGGTACCAGTAAACTGACAGAAGTATAGAAAACTCAGCATTTTTTCCCAATAGTGATAGCTTGGGCTTCGTAACTCTAAAGGCGGACCTTGGGCCTTCGGAAACGTTCACGGCGGCCTGGGTTTAGGGTTTAGGGTGTGGTCTCTCGGTCTCGTGCCGCTCGCTGGCATCTCGGTGGCAATTCTGGGTGGCTTTTACACAGAGGTGCTTTTTGCAAAGACATGTTCTGGAAACACAAACGTTTACATATACAGATGCTTTGACCCAGAGATGCTTTTAAACACAAATACCTACAGGCACAGGTGTTTTACACAGGGATGCTTGTATATACACAGACAAGCTTTTACATTCAGACACATGCAGATGCCTTTACGCAGCGATGCTTTAACGCAGGAGTGCTTGCACACGCATGTGCTATTACACATTTCTTTTGACACCGAGTAGCCTTTACAGAAGCTTTTAGACACACGTACTCTTACGCAGAAATGTTTGCACACAGAAATACATTTATACAAAAGCGTATTTTACACACAGATACTTGCAAAGAGGTGTTTTTGCACGGATGCTTTTACACAGAGATGGTTTTTCACGCAGGTGGTTGTAGACTAGGAAGCTTCTAGGCAGAGAAACTTTTACACGCCCATTTTGGAATCAGGTGCATATCCATTCTCACTTTTACGTTTAGGCACAATGATGCTTTTGCAGAGAGATGCTTATACACACACAGAAAGCTTTTACACGCAAATACTTGTGTACAGGGATGATTTTACACAGAGGAACTTTACACACACACACAGATGCCACTACAAACAGAGGTGCTTTTACAAAGGAATGCGCTTACGTTTACGCGACGAACTTTTACATACCGATGTTTATACTTTGCGTGATTTCCGACGGCGGACACGCATTTCGCGCGAAAGAGTTCAGAAAGCAGATGCAAAACCGCAATTTCACCGATCGAAACGCAGTTCGTGCTAAAGGGTTGCACGAGCACAAGCACAATTGAAATTTCACCGTTTTTTGACGATCGAACCACATTTAGTGCGAGAGGATCTACGCAAAGCCATCCAAACGCAAAAAAGCGTACTTTCACCTCAGTTTTGACGATCGAGACACATTTGGTGTGAGAGGGGCTATATACGGAAAACCATCGAAACCCAAAAATCGCAATTTCGTTGCAGTTTGCGAGGATCCAGACGCGTTTGCCCACATTGCAATTTCACCTCAATTTTGGACAATCGACATTTCGTGTGAGAGGGTTGCGTTTTTTTTGGGCATCAATCCACATTGCCCTGCCGCCATAAGAGAAAATGTAGAAAACTTTTTTGAAGGTGTAGGTGTTTTCAAGAAGTGGATCTCCACCTGCATCTTTACATCTGCCACTTTACACCTGCATATATCAACGTGTAGGTGTTTTTAAGAAGTTGACCTGCACCGGTGCTATATATCTACCGCAATACACCTGTATACACCTGCATATACTCATGTGGTAGTTGCGTTAAGGAACATCTATGTACCTGCATCTATGCACTTGCACCAAAACACCTGCGTCAATAGGATATATACCTGCATCTCGAATGTCATTTTGTAGATGTATTAAAGAAGAACATGTCCACCTGCATCGTACACAAGTTGAAATCTGAAAAGTGAGGATGTCGAGGATAGTTTTTTATTTTTATGGATGATGATGATACGGGTATGGTTAGTGAAAAAGAAGAAAAATAAGAAGAGTAAGAAAAAGAAGAAGCAGAAGAAGAAGACGACGATGATGATGATGATCTGGTTGTTGTTGTTGTCGTCGTCGTCGTTGTTGTTGGTGGTGGGTGTTGTTGTTGTTGTTGTTGTTGCTGCTGCTGCTGCTGCTGTTGGTGTTGTTGTTGTTGTTGTTGTTGTAGTTGTAACGGTGTTGTGATGATGGTCATGCGAGAAAACATTGATGGGAACAAATGCCTGCTGGCAGCAACTCTTTGGGAAAAAACCTTCGCAGGTCCTTTTTGGAATTGGTGCTAGTGTCTTGGTGGTCTCTCAATTGTGTTTCGGTGGTCGTTGGTGTCTTGGTGGCACTTTGGTGGTGTGTCCGTAGTGTCTTGACGATGTTCGGTGATGTTTTGGGTGTCTTGCTCATGTTTTGGTTGTGTTTCTGCGGTGTCTTGGCGGTGTTCCGGTGGTGTCTTGGTGGTGCGGCAAGAATGGTATTTTTTGCGCAAACTGGTTCACCTGTCAATACCACATTGGTGTTAAAGGAAGCGTGAAACTTTGCTATTGGGGTTGTATGTTGGGTTAATTTACAAGTAAATCATCGATGTTTATATAGTTTCCTGGAGGGTAAAACTTCTGATTGTTTGGAGGAATCCCCCCAAACAATCATCACCTTAGTCCATAGTGCTTCACATTTTTGTCTGATTTCAGGTGTAAGATAACCTCGCTAAGCCCGCTGCCGTTTTATACCCGTTTTATAGAGTTTCACTCAGGATCGAGATCGAGGCGACCGTGAAGGTGCTACCAATGGGTGTCGGCCCGGCAGCAGGTATCACTCAAAGAAGGGAGTACCACTAAAAACCTCCCCCACCCAATGTGGTCACAGACACTGGTCATTGTTTGTTGCCTGGTCATTGTGTCTAACCATCCAATTTCTCCCAGTTTTTTTGGGAAACACAGACACTGGGTGCGTTTTTCTCCCAAGCAGTCTGCAGTCTGCACTGGGCACAGGCAGGTAGCAGCCTCGAGGCTGGAGGGTTTTGGAAAGCTCCATGGAGTGGGTGGGTTCATCATCATTTGCCTGTTCAAATGGTCACCATTTGAGGGTACACAACACATTTTCACATGTAGATACTGTAGATCCCAGATTGCTTCGAGAATTTTCTGGTTCAAAGATTTCCTCTTTCCCAGTCTTGGGACAATCTCAATTGACGGTAGTTTCATGTTTTCGTAGTTGAAACCAACCTGTCCATGGTCACCTTTGGGCTGGCACTGTGGCGATTGTGGCATGAACAGGTGAATCAAACGATGCGGCATGAGAGAGTGAGAAGATATGCCGAAAATAGGCTAAGGGAGAGCTTGCTGTGAAGACGCTGTTTCCACTTGAAGGCAGAAATCAAGATCTAGGATGATCTAAGAGCATCTTGGGTTTGAGTTTGACAGTCCTGCAGGTGTTGATACGAGGTTGGAGGTCAATTGTGATGAGATCTTTTCTCTATTTCCATCTTCATTCCAGGATCTTCAGGCATCACAGCAAGCCATTTTGAGTCATACGCGAACGCAGCCCGACCTTTGGAAGGGGTCCGGCGACACCGGCATGGCCATATGGGAAGGGCAGCCACCACGCAAAAACACGTGTGAGGCCGCCAGGCGTCGGGAGGCAGTAGAAAAAGGGCGGGCTGTCACGGATACGGCTTGGGGTTGTGACTTGCCTTAGGGTTGTTGGGGATACCAGGGAACCCCCACCTACAGTTGAATGATGATAGACAATTGATCAACTATGAGCTCTTTTTGGGTGCTATCTTTGGACCCAGATGATTTCCACTCGAAGCTGTTGATCCAAAATGATGAGCAACTACTCACCATGTCATGTTTGTTGCATTCTTTTTCTATGGTCCTTGGCCTCATTAAAGGCAGATTGAACATATTGTCGATGATCTTAGTGTCTTAGTGTTCATGTGTAGAACAGGAAATGCGGGGACCACCCATATCCAAAGCCACAAGGATCATCAATGCTGTTGGAAGCGTATGGTTGAGTCATCCATGCCTAACCCTCTGACACGTCTGACACGTACCACTGCCTGTTCAAGCAGTATCCCACAACTGATCCCTCCAAGTTCACAATTCTTGGGTCCTGTTGATATCCGACAGCGGAATCAGTTGCTGGAACTCAGGCCGAAGGTGCGGGAACTCAGTGATGTACAGCGCTGATGGCAAATCTGAACAGCTCCAAGGCTATTCGTTCATACGACCCAGGTGAAAATAGTGCGGCTCAGAGTTCGCAGGCCATCCACATGGCATGAGGTCCTTACATTTCAACACTTTTTGGCGGCTAGATAGTGGTTGACTCCGGCAAGAGGTGACTTTGATGCCATTTTTTTAAATGGAGGACACACACACACACGCACATATTTATATGTATACATCACACACCATATATATATATACATACACCTGCAATACAGAGTGGGTAGTCATGGTACAACAACAGTGTTTGTTTATCAGCATTGCACACTCTGAAATCCCGCGCAGACTGCTAGATTGCCCGGTAGGGTCAACTGAGTAACTGTGCCGGCCTGGTTTTCTATGAGTTGAATCAACTCAGCCATGGATGTCTTTACAACCTATACTTATACGAATCTTGGGTAACCCTCCATTCGTCAAACATTAGGGTGCTTGAGAAAGCTCCAGCCCGGCAGATCTCTGGCATTGATTCCAAGTCCCTGTATTGGATGAGGCAACAGCCGTTTACCAAACGTTTACCTGAAAAATCTACCCGGGTTTACCTGAAAAATCTATTAATGTGGGGCTAAAATTGCTAAAGGTTTCCATAGAACACATTTTTTTTTGAAATATCCATCCATTTGGATACGTTGACAAAAACCCTCGAGGTCACTGGCATGATGGGTAGGGTAACGGGTATCCCAAGATGGCCACAAGGTTCAGGATTGGGCACCCTGTATTTACAGGGTTTACCAGTTTACCCAAAATCCCAAACATGTGGAGCGTTTACAAATTGCGATGGCTTCTTCCAACATTTCCCTGGACAATTCCAAGCTGTTGAGTCATCACTCAGGTCCAATGTCACCTGCAACCTCACCTGTCTCGCACTTCCAGTGGCCTCAGATGATGCCTAGCGCCATGGTGCGATGGGCCCAGCCGGAATGGTTCGCCAATTTTTTTTTCCAGGGGAAGTGAAGGGAATGGACCTGGCATGAAGGAATTGTGTCCCTAAAACCAACAGAGGTGTCTGAATGCGGCAGACCAGGAAACCGATCCATCCGTTCAATTTCCAAGCAATGGGTGTATAATTACTCCAAAACCGGAGGTTTATGTCATGGGGTCCATCCCGCATTCATTGGAGCCCTTTTTTTTATGGTGTCCGTCCGTACATTTTCCAGTGCCTTGCTGGTCCAGGGGTCAAGATTCTGCACCAATTGGCGGGTGAAATCAGCTCCTACTTACCTTTTTGAACCTATAAATATCATTAAATATCTATAAATTAGGATCATCATTCCACTTGTATCCCTCAAATCCCATCCTTATCCATCCTTCATATCCTTGATATTCCTTGATATCCTATCTTGTTCGGATGGTGCTTTGCAGCAGGAATCCATCGGAATCCTAGGAGTCGGGAGCAAATTTCAATTTTGGGTCTCTTATTTTCAGACATACCCAAATACTGATGGTTATAAATAAACAAAACAATAAATAAATAAATAAATAACTATGTATATATATACATATACATATACATATATATAAATAAAATAATTGATAAATAAATAGGTAAATAGATCAATGAATACATAAATAAATATATGTATCCCATTAAATTCAATCACCTACTGTATATATTCCATTAATTGCATTTTTTCAATGGCGACATCCCAGTAAATCCATCTTTTTCTAGAGAATGTTTGGACCCACATTCCACATCTGAGCCAGGAGGGAGGCAGCGCCTCGTCCTCTCCCACCGGCGACCAGTACAGAGAACAGGCGCAACGGCGCAACAACTGGGTTCCACATCAAAACCACACATTTTCGACATCTCAACTTCCAAAAGTGCTCAGGACGTGAGATGTTTTACCTTTCGCTTCAAAATGTGCTTCGCGCCACAACGACGTGCAATTTTTGATCGCTGGATCTTCTTTCTTCTTCCTTTCTCTTCTCTGACTCTTCCCAGCTTTTCCATCTGTCCATTTTGCCGGAAGTTTGACTTCTAAACTTCGATCATACAGTATACCATATACTTCCGTATACTTCCGTATTCATAGACATAGATACCTTCACGTGCACATTTCCCGGGTGCTTCGAGCACGGCCTCGAAGACGCAGGTGCGACAGCAGTTGCAGGAACAGCTTCAAAGAGAAGCTGGGCATTTCAAGGCGGTCGGGGCATACCATCCACCCGAAATAAGCTGTTTAGGCTGGGAAAACCTCGAATGATGAAACGGAGCTTTTCGGTGAAAATCAGAAAAAAGGGATTTTCCGGCCAAGGTTTGAATACCAGAAGGTAGTGAAGTTCTTTTTTTGGGCTTCTGGACTAGAATTGAGGGATTCGCTTTTCACATTTTTCGGCGATGTTAACAGTGGACCGTGAAGCTTAAGAGCCCTTAATGAACCAATCTCAAACCACCCTCCATATGCATTCTGGCCTCTGATTGGGGGGGAGCCATCCCGAAAATGGTTTATCACTTGGGAAGTATGATCGTTTGCCAAAGATTGGATGAAAAACATCCCGAATCAACAAATGCCAAGTCTGATCCAAACAGGAAACACACGAATTCACGCGACTTATGAACAACTAGTTATAGTACCACGGGGCTTTAGACGACACCTTAGGTTTGTGATGCCGATCCCCTGCAGTGAAAAAATCAGGGCATGGGAATGGGATCTCCACCTGGCCATGGGTCCCATGGAAAACCCATGGCCAACGCCGCATTTCATGGGGAAACGAAACGATCGATGAATAGGAAGGGGCCCAGGGCGAGGTCATGCCCAAGACATGGATGATGGGAGATGGTGGGATCCCAATGGCTGATATGCAGATCAGATCTTCCACGAAGACACAAGGGACAAAGTTTCAGCAAAGCTATCCATCCAACAGGGACCGTGCGGAACCAACTGCTTTGCCATCCAAATCACCATCATCCATCCTATTCTTACTACAGTAACAACAATAATAGTAATGGTAATAATTAAACATAGAAATAGAAATAAAAATACGCATACGAAAAACAAAATAACAATTATATAATGATAATAATAATAATTCCCATCATCATCATCATCATCATCATCATCATCATCATCGTCATCATCATCATCATCAGCAGCATCATCAGCATCACCATCGCCATCGCCATCACCACAGTTATCATCATCATCACCTCTATTCTCACTCTTATTTTTACCAGTGCTTCAAAAAATACTATGATTATCAGCACAGTCACAACCCCATCACTGGAACATTCCCCATTTATAGTATATACTTATGATATATAAAACTATCATATCATAATAATTCATAATATCATTGTATAACATACCAATAATCAAACATGGCAACGGACAATCCCCTATTAATGATTATCAATAGATGATTTTCCCAGCAACAAAAACCTCCGCGAAGCGGGTTGCCCCAGGAGGATCATCTCCAAAATCCGCGGGAACAGCTCCTTGGTTTTTCAGGGAAGCAGAAATCACCTGGAAAGTCATCTAGAAATGTGGCATCTTCTATTGCCCGATTTGATTTTTACTGATGATTTTAGAGGGTACCAGGGATCACTGAGATTGTATGTTGGATTGCAATTCCATGCAGTTCCCATATGTGGGCTGACGTGGAAACGTTACGAACCCGAATCGTGAGAGTGTACAGGTACAGTGGCCATTGGGTATGCCACGGGTCAATCTTTTTACCAGGCTCTCCAAACCCCGAAATTGCCAAGAACGGGCGCAGGGTAAAGCAGCAACTTCAGCTCAAAGAGTTCGGGCCTTGGTGCGGCTTTTGTGGAGAAATATCTCCTTACAATGACAAGATGGCCAAAAAAGGTCGGAACTCTAAATCCAACATGTTATGTTCTATTTTAGAAGGGGAAAGTGATGGTTGCGGAATCGACTTCTTTGGATACACATTTTGGTATTGGTGTTTCCTTTGGATACACTCAATACCGTGGCGGAGAGTAGCAAACACTAAGCTTGGTCCCAGATCTGGAAATTGTCAAAGGTTTTCAAAGGTGTGGCACTTCAACTCTTCAAAGGTCTTGTTGAAGTGGAGGTGACCCCAAGCAACTTTTCTGCTGGGGGTGTTGAAACAGCGCCAGGATCTGTGGCTGTTTCAGATTCCCCGAAATGACCAGACATTTGTAACATTTACCCTCTCCTATTCA